CTCCCCCATCATCCACACCAACTCCTCCCCATCATCCACACACTAACTCCTCCCTGTCATCCACACACCAACCTCCCTGTCATCCACACACACTCCCTGTCATCCACACACCAACTAACTCCTCCTCATTATCCACACACTAACTCCTCCCCTGTCATCCCCACACTAACTCCTCCCCATCATCCACACACTAACTCCTCCTCATCATCCACACCCCACTCCTCCCCATCATCAACACACTAACTCCTCCCATCATCACACACTAACATCTCCAACTCTAACATCCTCCCTGTCATCCTCATCATTCACACATAACCCTCCCATCATCCACCACCCTCCCATCATCCACTAACTCCTCCCATCATCAACACACTTCCTCCCCATCATCCACACACTAACTCCTCCCTGTCATCCACACACTAACTCCTCCCCCATCATTCACCAACTCCTCCTCATCATCCACACACTACTCCTCCCCATCATCCACACACTAACCCTCCCCATCATCAACACACTAACTCCTCCATCATCCACCACATAACTCCTCCCTGTCATCCACTGCCATCCACACACTAACTCTCCCTATCATGACACACTAACCTCCCCATCATCCACACTAACTCTCCCCATCATTCACACACTAACTCCTCCCCATCATCAACACACTAACTCCTCCCCCCATCATTCACACACTCCTCCCCAGCATCCACACACTAACTCCTCCCCATCAACACACTAACTCCTCCTGTCATCCACACACTAACCTCCTCTCATCATCCACACACCAACTCCTCCCCATCATCCACACACTAACCCTCCCTGTCTCATCCATACATCTAACTCTCCCCAGCATCCACACCTAACTCCTCCCCATCATCAACACACTAACTCCTCCCTGTCATCCACACCCAACCCCACACAAATAACTCTCCCCATCATCCACACACTAACCCCCTGTCATCCACACTAACTCCTCCCCATCATTCACACACTACTCCTCCTCATCATCCACACACTAACTCCCCCCATCATCCACACCACACCCCTCCCCATCATCAACACACTAACTCCTCCCCATCATCCACACAACTCCTCCTGTCATCCACACACCAACTCCTCCCTGTCATCCACACACTAACTCCCCCTCATCGACACACTAACTCCTCCCCATCATCCATAACTCCTCCCCATCATTCACACTAACACTAACTCTCCTCCCCCATCATTCACACTAACTCCTCCCCACATCACACACACCTCCCCATCATCCACACTAACCTCCCATCATCAAACACTAACTCCTCCCTGTCATCCACACACTAACTCCTCCTCATCATCCACACACTAACTCCTCCCCATCATCCACACACTAACTCCTCCCTGTCATCCACACACTAACTCCTCCCATCATCCACACACTAACTGGTCAGAAGCAAAGACATTGTTGGCGGACATTAGGAAAAAGGACTAAAGGCTTTCAGAATATATTGCTATAGTGAAATGTTAAGCATAAGTTATATTGATGGACAAACAAATAAAAAATACTAAGATTGGTAAAAAAAAACACTGGAAATGTATAGAAAGAAAAATATGAAAGTGTGAATATATAATTAGGGATAAGGGGATGATGGTAGAGCTATTAATTGGTAGGAGAGCCAGGGGAAGGCAGGCACTGGATCGATAGATGAAATTAAAAGCTGTGTTCCCTAGAGAGATGCAAAAAATAATCTGGGAGGATTGGTAAAGACACTTTGATTGATTGATTGAAATTTACTGAAGATTAAAATTAATTGTACGTGAGTTAAAAGTACTCAAAGGGATAGTAGTATATAAGTTAAAGGAGAAATGAAGACAGGTTAAGTGTAGTTTGAGTTACAGGCAGGTAAGGGACAGTCTATGTACAGTTGGCATAGACTAATGTAGGACAAATTCTCAAAAGAAAATGTAAAAATGTACTGTGTTATATAGATCAAGGAGACGTTTATCACAATGTCTGGGGGAGAAATAGTTTATGGGATTTACAGAGGAAGGGAATGCTGGAGAAACACATGGAATATAAAAGGAGACGTAGAAGACACGAGGACAATACGAGGACACGAGGACAGCACAAGGACGACACGAGGACAACAGGAGGCCAACACGAGGACAACACGAAAGCAACACGAGAGCAACAGTAAAGCCAACAGAAGTCACAAAGAATCTCAGAGTTGAACTACATCAAGGACCAGCCAGCTTTATACCCTGTTGTAGACATGTAATGGCTTATGAACACAGAAACACTTAAAAAGAATGAGAGTGAAAGTTAATACAAGGAAAACAGAAGTTAACGTTGAGTGGTATAAAGGGGGAAGGGGAAGAAGAGTCGTGAAAATCCTAGGGAAGAGAAGTAATTAATTTCCTCAAGTAAGTAAGTTAAGACACCTGGACTGAACGTTGAGTGAGGGGGAACAGTGTGTCAAGGAGAGGGTGAGATGAGAACAGAACAAGTTAAAAGAAGTGTTTAGGTATACTGTGTGTTAATAAATTTACCCTGAAATTATATAAATAAAAAGTATTAACCGCAATTGTCAAAACAGGACGATTTTATCAATTGTTTTATGGTGTTTGGAGTATATTGGAGACAGGTATATATAATACTTTAGAGGCAAAATTAAGGGATTATGACAGAATATGTCGGGAATATCACTCAAGAAAAGGATAAGAAATACGATATCAAGAATATACTCTGACTCATATATCATTAATACCTGAATTCCTTTATGTATTCTTACCCCCACTATGCTAAGATTTACTATATGCTCCCAATACCACAAATCTTATAAATACATCTATAATTGCCACTAAGTTTCCCAACACCATGCCTCCACTCGTGATTATAGAGATGGCCCAGCAGGAAACACGGCATCAATGCATCGAATGGTAAATTTTCTCTGGCTCTTTTATTTATAATGCTGAAACTAGTACTGAAATGAATACACTCTCCCTTAAACTCACTGTCGAATAACCCAAAGCGAAAAGGCACCAACGTCAATTAAAAATATAGTTCAGACCGGTATGATGACATCGAGGTCTTATATAGTATGGCGGCGGGCGGTGACCACTGTACCAAACGCTTGATCCACATACCGACACAGAACCTGTTTTACCTCTATAAAAACAAGTTGAGATAAATCATATAAGTTGACGTTTATATGAATCATCCGCAAATATAATGTTATAGAAGAATAATGAGTAATAATAGAGTTACAAGTACGCATAATATATCCGATCTTATCCTGGTCAATCCTTACAAGTTTAGTCTAATGTTGGGCAAATACCTGAAGGCTTCGTTTATCGGGTGCAATTCATTAACATGATTTTATCGCTTCAACACTGTGGCGAATAATGTATGTAATTAGTCTCTACGATAAAAACAATCTAAAAATGTTAAACAGTAAAATTATATCAACTGAACACCACTTATCTTATAGGTTTGTTGGTGCAGGGAGTCTCTAGTCTAGTAACTTAGGTGTCGTTAACCTCTTCACCTTATTAATGGTTAGTAGAATTCAATAAATACACCGAACACTATAACTTCTGTTATCGTTACAGCTTGTCGGCTTTTCACAAAACTGATATCTTAACCTGAGAGTAAACCAATAATATTTTGAATGTGTTCATAGCATAATTTCCCTCCTCTTGAAATACATATTAACATATTCCTGTATGCCTGTCAGGCGTGTGTCTGTGGCGGAGGGCACTCTGTGGTGTGGCAGGTAAAACATATTTCTGCCTTAGTGAAGTGTACGCCTGGAATGTGTGAATTGTTGTTCCTGGAGTTTGTACCATAAACGTAAAAAATATTGTATACTGTAGCTATAAAGCTATATATATATATATATATATATATATATATATATATATATATATATATATATATATATATATATATATATATATATATATATATATATATATATATATATATATTAAATCGGTTGTGCTTTGAACACAAATCAAGTTTTTACACATATTTGTCACAATCGCCTCCCGAGTTGAAGGACGTGTCTAGGTTTTGATTCCTTCATTTTTTGCTGACGTACTTAAAAGCATTAGCCTGGTGCAACTCACATTCAACCATGATTTCAAAATCTACGTTTTAGCAGACTCAACTTTTTCTACATGGGGTCTGGGGCAGAGATATACAGAGATATGCAGTATTTTCTATAGAGGTAACAGGATGTGTCTGTCTTCTACCACCTCATTAAGTGTTGACATCTTAAGCTGTGTTGTGAATATGAATGATACAATAATAGAGGGAAGGTGTGAAGTTCGATACATGTACAACTGCTCCGGGGGGGGGGGATCAGGGTAGGAGGACCAGCCCACCACACCTGGTTCAATGGATCTTTTCTGTTATCATGTGTATCATGGACGGTAAGATAAGCTGCAACAGTCTCAATACAACCTGGATCAACTGCGCAAGCTGGATCTATGCAAATATAACAACGGAAGTCTTTAATCAAACGCTGATAAATATTTTTGCCAGTCAGCACACTTTGAACAGCTGTGTGTTGCTTGTCCAATAAATCACACCCTCTGTGGCAGTGTCGAGGTGGTGGCTACACACTCATCACTCAGTGTTGCTGGTCCACCCTTCTCGGAGGTGTAAACGACTGGTTAATTTGAGAGACAGGAGAGTGGCTGGAGTTACACCATTAAGACAGAGTTACTGAAAGCTGATAATATTATCTAGAAGTTGATGGCAGCTCTGTGTATCGTTTAGCTCAAGAATATGTTTACGTCTAACTGGATAAGAGATTTATTCACCTTTAAATGAGAAAGGCAAAATATGTTAAGAGGAGTGTATGATCGAGGGCTACACTGTTCACCACGTCAGGTTAAACCCCGTCTACAGTAGTACTCGCATATTGTACGTAATGAATCAGGATAACTTGTTTTGTAGTTCCCGATTCTAGAACTTTTTATCGAAACACCGGAAGACAGGCCGTGATTCCTACTTGTTACACCGTGTTCACCTGTTACACCGTGTTCACCTTTTACACCGTGTTTACCTGTTACACCGTGTTCACCTGTTAGTCCGTGTTCACCTGTTATTCCGTGCTCACCTGTTACACCGTGTTCACCTTTTACACCGTGTTCACCTGTTATTCCGTGCTCACCTGGTACACCGTGTTCACCTTTTACACCGTGTTCACCTGTTATTTCGTGCTCACCTGTTACACCGTGTTCACCTTTTACACCGTGTTCACCCGTTACACCGTGCTCACCTGTTACACTGTGTTCACCTGTTACACCGTGTTCACCTGTTATTCCGTGTTGACCTGTTACACCGTGTTCACCTGTTATTCCGTGTTCACCTGTTACTCCTTGTTCACCTGTTATTCCGTGTTCACCTGCTACACCGTGTTCATCTGTTACACCGTGTTCACCTGTTACTCCGTGTTGACCTGTTACACCGTGTTCACCTGTTATTCCGTGTTCACCTGTTACTCCTTGTTCACCTGTTATTCCGTGTTCACCTGCTACACCGTGTTCACCTGTTACACCGTACTCACCTGGTAATGATGACAGGAGTTCCTTACAGTGTACACCAATCATCCCAGGTATATAAAATAAGACGACCCGGGAAAAGTATTGATTCTTACCCAGTTATTAAGGAGTTACCGTTATACTAATCTCGTGTTGCGTTGATGCGCCTGACTTGTTCCTTCCTGTTGCCACTGAGGTATGAAAGTGTATTGTGTTTACACCTTCAAAGTATTTTAGTATTTGTTTGTACTGGGTGATGGATAATGCACTGGGTGAAGAATAATGCACTGGGTGAAGAATAATGCACTGGGTGATGGATAATGCACTGGATGAAGAATAATGCACTGGGTGATGGATAATGCACTGGATGAAGAATAATGCACTGGGTGATGGATAATGCACTGGATGAAGAATAATGCACTGGGTGATGGATAATGCACTGGATGAAGAATAATGCACTGGGTGATGGATAATGCACTGGGTGAAGAATAATGCACTGGGTGAAGAATAATGCACTGGGTAAAGAATAATGCACTGGATGAAGAATGATGCACTGGGTAAAGAATAATGCACTGGATGAAGAATGATGCACTGGGTAAAGAATAATGCACTGGATGAAGAATGATGCACTGGGTAAAGAATAATGCACTGGATGAGGAATGATGCACTGGGTAAGGAATAATGCACTGGATGAGGAATGATGCACTGGGTAAGGAGTCATTTGGCGGTAACTGAAGTAGACCTAAAGACGCTATTGGGGAAAAATGAGTTGCGGTGGCCGAATAGAAACAAAACTCACCCCCCATACTAAGGGTCGATTATTTTCACCCAATTATAACCTGGTTCTATAGTTGGGGACGTGAAGGCAATCGAGTGAAGTGTTGTAAGATTTAAGTCCTTCTGTACCTATACCACAGACTTAGTATTCAATAAGCTGTAGCTGTATTGCCTTGAGGGGATAATCAGACTTATAGAATTGATGTCTATATTTTTTATGTGTGTGTGTGTGTGTGTGTGTGTGTGTGTGTGTGTGTGTGTGTGTGTGTGTGTGTGTATTAGTGTGTGTGTGTGTGTGTGTGTGTGTGTGTGTGTGTGTGTGTGTGTGTGTGTGTGTGTGTGCGTGTGCGTGTTTAATTATTATATTTGCAATTGAATGTAATATCAGATCATAGTGTTTTATATTTCATTAGAAGCGATTCCATTCTAAACTCGGTTCATGAAAACATAGTAATGTTATATTCCTACTTCGCAACCCATCCCCTGAGGCAGAAATGGTTACTCATGACGTTATTACCTTTGTATATGGCATAACAATTCATCCTATTTCATTACATCATGTAGAGAATAGGTTGTATACTGCAGATATCATGGCGAATATCATGTGCAAGAAGAAATAACAAAAGGTGCAACTCACAATCAGAAATACCAACTGAACCAAGATTGCTGTGCACGTGTTTTTGTGTTCATGTCCAAATACGTCAGGCCCAGGGGGACCGATACATTTTTGGAATAGTGTACACACAAGGAATTAGAATTAAGATTTGGAAACTACTGTAAAGGTTAAGGATTCACTTCATATACTGCCAGTGGTATTGGAGGATATAAGGAAGTAATTGTGTGCAGTGTGTGTTTGTGTGTGTGCTTGCAGAAGGGGGGGGGGAGGGGCAGTGGGTCCCAGAGGGACGGCGCGTAGGCCCACTCGCACGTGGACACGTCTAGGCACCTACCAACCACTGCCCCATTGTCTTGTGAATTAACCTTGATAGGGACAAGGTTACGGGAGTAAACCCTGAGCGAGAAACCTGTGGTGGAGCCCCGCAACAAGCAGACATTCTTACAGAGCTCCAGTAAGACCCCAATGGCGGTATAGGCGGCAGAGGTGACCAACATAGGAACCCAACGACTACATCAGTGGATGAAGGCAATGCAAGATGGACAGGTTGCTTAGGCGATACCGAAAAAATGGACTATCGGCAGTCCATTGCAACTCTCCCTCTCCCCAGCTGTTGCATCTACCCATACCACTGATTCAAGAAAAGGGAAAGCCAAGATGTGTGGTTGCAGCCTGTGCTACTGCCTCACCACATAATCAAATCACGCGTAGCCATCATCTACCTCATCATACTTTTCATCATCATCGAAAACCCGAACTACCCAAAAGTCCGATGGCGACAGGCGAGTAGCGACGGGGACAGGCAGAAATAACTGTCACAACTCTTCACATAGAACGGCGTAGTTAAGATGTCGTTTATGCACTGGGATCTAGGCAGCAGTGCAATCCAGTCCTGTCTGTGCGACTGAGGAGCCCTTTCGAGGAGCCACTCTGCTTACCTCACATGGGGAGGGGGTTAGAAAAGGTGTCCTAAAGAAAGCCTGCCTAGAGCCAACCTAACTGGGAAACCGCACCCAGTCTAGGACATAATCATTATCCCAGAGCAAAGCAAACACAAACTATACAACCTCTTATGGTCGCTGCGTGGAATGTCAGGACCCTTCAGGATACTTGCACAAATGAGCGCCCTGAAAGAAGAACCGCCCTTGTGAAAAAAGAGCTGTCTAGGTATAACATCAACATAACAGCTATTAGTCAGTCCCGACTCCCAGAAAAAAAAGTCGACTCACAGAATGTGGGTCTGGCTATACCTTCTTCTGAAAGCGTAAGCCTGCAGTGGAGAGAAATTGCATTTATGGAGTTGACTTTGCGATTCGCCATTCCATCCTACATAGACTAACTGAAATTTCTGCTGGTATCAACGAGCCCCTCATGACGCTCCGAATCCGACTGAATTACTCATGTCATGCCATCATCATTGAATACGACCCAACACTGCATGCAGAGGATGAAATGAAGGAGGCCTTTATGCCGACCTTGTCAGAGTGCTAATCCCCAGAGAAGATAAGGTTGTGCTCCTAGGTGACTTCAATGCCAGAGTTGGAAGAGATGCTGACATATGGCAGAGAACTATAGGGAGAAACGGAAAAGAAAGTGTAATCCCAATAGACAACTCCTCAGCAAGTGTGCTGAACATAACCTCACTATCACCAATATCTTGTTTAGGCAGGCCGACAAGTTTAAGTGTTCGTGTCAATATCCGTGATCCAAACACTGGTATTTCTTTGGCTACATCATTGTCAGAGAAAGAGATCGCCGAGATGTTTTTATCACCCTAGCCATGCGCGGCTGAAACCACTGTAACACTGATCATCGGCACGTCATAACCAAGCTCTCACTTCACGTCGCCCCAAAACGGCGAAGGCAGCAAGACTCTAGATGAGGTTTAACACTGGGCGTCTGGAGGATCCAGCCGTAACAAATGCTTTCAGAGAGCAGCTCGAACATAGACTGATAAACAACCCGACAACAAACAACCCAAATCTCAATGCCGAATGGGATATTCTCAATACTATCAAGAGAAAACCTGCAGAGAGACCCTCGACTAGATGGAAAGAATTCACCCGGACTGGTTTGATGAAAATGACCTGGAAATCAACGTACTCATCGATGATAACTGTGCACTAACTGCCAGAATAACCCTCAGTCTCTTAACAAAACTGGTACTTTCCACAAGAAGAAAGCGGCGACCCAGTGCGAATTTCGCAATCTAAAGAGCTAATGGTTAAATAATAAAGCATGTGAAATGCAAATACTTATATATCAACACAAGATGAGCAAATTTTTCAATTCCACTAAAACATTTTAAGGGCCAATCACTCGTGACGCACCCCCTTCCCTCCCCCTTCCACTCATCCTACGGTAACTCCATAATTCAAGACGATGAAAGCCTCCATCAGCGCTAGAAAGAGCAGTACCATTCGCTGCTCAACCGAAAAATCGATGTGGATGTCCTGACTACCCAGCAAGTTCGTCCACGCCCAGAGTTGACCCACCTCAGCTATCCTCCATCCCTGGACGAGCTAGCTACTGCCATCAAACAGATGAAAAATAGCAAAGCTGAAAGGCCTGATGGAATCCCAGCCGAGGTGTATAAAGCAGGAGGACCTCTGCTTACCAGCCGTTTCCACTCTCTCCTGGAAAATATATGGGAGAAGAGGGAAATTCCCCAAGATCTTAAAGACTCCTTGATTCTCAATATTTATAAGAACAGGGAAGACCGGTCAGACTCTGACAGCTAATATGGGATCTCACTGCTGCTAATAGCTGACAAGATTATCGCCCGAGTCCTCCTGAACAAAATATTTCCTACAGCGGAAAGCTTCCTCTCAGAATCTCAATGTGGCCTTAAACCATCATGAGGCACCACTGAAAATTATCTTTGCTGCCCGCCAGATGCAGAAAAAGTGGAGAGAACAGCATCGTGACCTGTGCATGGCCTTTGAGAAGGTCAATAGGGAAGCCCTCAGCTGCTTTGCCTGCCCACCAAAGTCCATTGCCATTGTGAGATAACTCCACGATGGCATGAATGCCAGTTTCATATACAATGGCACCCAGTCTGAGTTCTTTCCCCATCAAAACAGGGGTAAGACAAGGATGTATACTGGCACCAACTCTCTTTTCCATTTTCTTGACTGCTTTCCTTACTCGTGCCAGTGCCAGTTTAGCCGGCGGGGTGAACATCCAGTACCGGATGAAGAGACTTTTTAATATAAGACGATGCCAAACAGGAATAGAGATGCCAGTCGCTTCCATCACTGAACTTCAGTATGCAGACGACTTCATCCTCGTCACTGATACTGAACGCGATCTACAGGAGATCCCGAACACCTACACAGATGTGCATGCACACTCCGCCCTTGAGGTGAATGTAAGTAAGACTCAGATTCACTTTCGGCCTATCCCTGATTCAACCATACCTTCACCATCCATCCAGCTTAACGGTACTACCCTCTCTAATGTTAACACTTTTAGTATCTCGGGTCCCACCTTTCCACCACCGCGGACCTCGATAAAGAGATTCAACATCAGATCAGATGTGCATCTAAAGCCTTTGGCAGTCTCCATACCCGTGTCTTCAGCTGTAGAGAGCTGAAATTATCTACAAAGTTGCACGTATTTCCAGCAGTGGTTCTTTTCATTCTCCTATATGGCAGTGAGACATGGGTCACATACT